ACCATCAAAACATAAGGGGTAATGCATCCATTTAGTCCTTTCTAATTTTTTCAATTAATTAACCCCTAAAATTTTCTTCCAGTTTTGTCTCTGATTGCAAGTTGTTCTACAGCTCAAAACTCCCCAATAAAGGGGTGAATACAGGTACACTGGGCATCCCCATGTTCACGGCTCTAATTTTTTCCCCTGGAAAGAAAGCGAAGATGCTTGCTTCTTTCCTTTTCCTCCTTTTTTTTTTTCCGTTTTTGTTATTCCATCTACTACTTTCTTGGATTCCCAGTTAAAACGTGAAATTAAATTGATATTATTATCACATTTTTAATTATTAATATTATATATTTTATTTTAATTAATTATTATATTTTTTAATTTATTAAAAGTAAAAAATTTTTTAAAATATATAAATTAATTTTATTTAAAATTCAATTCAACCCAATAAATCAATACATTTCAAACCCAATTTAGTTATTTATGTTGGATTGATTTTCATTTATGTTTGGACAATTTATATTTGATTTTACCATATGTCTATTGACCTTACTAGTTACAACTAATTGTATTTTTGCAGTTTGCAAAGGTAGAATCTAGATGTTATTAGTGTTGTATAAGGAATAAATTCATTAGTTTAGTTATTTACATTGGATTTATCTTTGTTTATATTTGGACAATTTATATTTGATTTTATGTTTGAAAAATTTTAGTTAATTGTATTTGAATGTTTAGACTTTTATCTATTGTAATTGAATATTAATTAATTATAAGTGAAAAAATTCATATTTTAATATAAATTAGTGGAGAATAGGGACAAGAGGCAAAATCTACCCTATCAAAAATCCCTGCAAGATCCCCATCCTCATCCCCCACCATTTGCGCAAACAGGGACAAGGATGGGGAGGGACTTTCCGACCTTGTGAGGCCTCGTTGCCATCCCTATTAAAGCCTAAGTTTGATGCATATACCATTTGACCTTACATATTCAAAATTTCACCTATCTAACTAAATGATACTTTAATATTTCTATGTATTCCACATATATTTATATATCATCAAATAACAATGGACCTACAAAGTATATAAAATAAAGATCCAATAAGCATTTTGATCTATCATAACAATGCAAAATCCCATTTAAAAAATCAAGAGAACTTAATATAGAGAAATTTTATTTTTACTACCATTAAGTCAGATAATGTTTCACTATTATGGTCTCTAATCAATGATTTAAATTGTGCAATTCAATGCAATTCAAAATATATAATTTTTTTTCATTAAAGATTTATACTCTCATAATAAATATTTAAAATATATTAATATTGTATAAAAAATATTATATAAAATATAAATAATTAAAAAAAAATAGAA